ATAGGAATAGGACAAAACTGGTGCATTTTAAAAACAGCTGAATGCAATGACAGAGGTTTAATCAAGACTGTCCCAGCCAAACTTTGACAATTATTAGAGAACATGTGGTTGTACATAGAGAACAGGGTGAAAAATGAGAGAGAAAGAAACTACATTATATATGAATAGTGTAGACTCATATAATACAGCTTCGAACTGTATTATATGGCAGTGTAGATGCGCCTGGTATATTATTAAAACATCTGAAAAAGTGGGATTGTTAAGGTTAATCCATCTGTCCCTGCCAAAATTGGACAGCTGGAGGACATGTCTTCTGATGACCACATGCCATGGAACATTTCATTCATATGTCTGGCAAACTGTGGCTTCCTTGATTTGTGAACCCATGGAAAGCTCTCCCACCTGTTGCGGTTTTTACTCAACTGTGAAACTGTTAGCTCTGTCAGAATTCATCTGGAGCATGAATATCTTGGATCCCACATACTCTCCTAAGCCAGTTGACTGACGCATGTATTGTGGAGGAACAAGGGTAGGATGCTTACTTACACATTCTGTGTTTTTTCAATATGAAGAAAACAAAACAACTTACAACTAGATTGGACTGAACCACTGCAGGTTGAACCTATAACAAGAGGAATGTTCAGTGAGGTTATGAGTGAATAAATATAGGATATTGAGAACTTGGAACTTCTAGTCCTGCAGAAAATCTCCTCAATGCACATTGCTGTCTGGCATTCTCAAGTTTCAAATCACAGTCTTTTATGAATATCTGATCTTTCAAAGTAATATTAACAACAACTGTTATTTTTGTTGTTGTTGCTATTGTTCTGTTTGTCAGTAGGCTGCCCGGGTCATTTTTCCATGCCCTGGGATGGCTTTTATCCATAAAATGAAATGGAGATGATCCCAATAGCAAACCACTTTGACAGATTAAGAAGTGCTAAAGATTTGGGGTGACAGAAAGCCTGTACAAACAACCAGACTTTCATTAGTTTCTTGCCAAAGTTATATTGGGGGGAGGGGTGTAAAAGCATTGCAGAGGAAGCCAAAAGCTTCATCTTTTCAATTTATGTTAAAAATAAAGATAAAAGGACAAGCTTCCTGATATAAGTCAGGAGTTATGATTCCGAATGGTAGAGAGTATCATTATATAAGCTGTTTTCTTCATATATATTTTTATCTTGCCAGCTGAAGTTGCTTTTTGGGCCTATGGGTGATAGTGTAGGAGTTGCTTGTGGCTCAATATGCATCTCTGGAGACAGCAGATATAATCAAAAGATTTTCTACAGAAAATCTTTTAGAAGGACATTGTGTGGAATTGCATTACTAAAGAGCTATAGTTTGCAAAATCATCTGAGCTGAAAAGTAGGCTCCTATTACTTAGTTAGCTGCCGGTTCTGTTTTCTGCAAATAAAAGTAGCTTTTGTTTTTGTTGTTGTGTACATAAGAGAGAATGAAAGACTGATTAAATATCTATTTCTGCTGTAAGCTACAGAACTAGCTAGAAGTTGCATTTCAACCACATTTTTAAAGGCTTGGTGAAAAGCAGTTATATTATTACCATTTTTCACTCCTGGTCAATTAATGGGCAAACATAAAAAAACAAAATCATTACCATCTCAATGTTAGTGTGAGATTATTTCCCCGCCCTTACATTACCACAAGGCTTCCATGCTCTTGCAAACACAAACACACTGGCACACATTAGCACAGTTGTGATAGGGCTCCTCTCATTCCCATAAGTAAAACTGATGTGGAGCTTATTTTGTATACTTTAAAGGCATTTCTCATTTGTGGTCATCCTAAGGGGACCTCTAACATAGGTTTTCCTGGGAAGATTTGTTCAAAAAGACTTTCTAAGGCCAGCAGAGTGTGACTTGTTCAAGGTAACCCAGTAAGTTTTCATGGTTATGCAGAAATTTGAACCTTGGCCATTCAGAGTCCTAGTCTGGCATTGAAACCACTGGAGCACACTGGCTCACTGTTTTGGAGTCGGTGGGCCTTATGTGATCCAGATAGTGAAAGGATCATTAGGGTATGTTTAAATCAGTAATGAACTTTTCACTTATCATTTTTCATCTCCATAACTGTAATGATGAATGTATTTATTTTACAGTTTATACCTGGCCATAAACTTATAAGGAATTTTCAGAAAATACTAAAACATAGTAGTAAAATATGTAATAGCAGTAAATAAAACTTATTCAACATTCATCAGCCTGAACTAAACAATGAATTAATAATTACGAAAAATAATAACAAAGCCTTGAGCCGCAAAAAATATAAATAAAAATAGCATCCATAAATACTGACTGAATTGGGGGTAGGGGAGGAAGGTTGTTTACATTTCTAAATTTGACTAACTCACCTACCACATTTTGGATGTCATTATCATAATATGGGAACATGTATAAGTAGATAAAAGGTGTGTGGTAGAGATATACATAGTATAAGTTGTAACGGAATGATAAGAAATATGCTTAAAGATGTATTTGATTATTTTTACTGTTAGATTGTATATAATATGGTAAATTCTTATATCTAAGATGTTGTAAAAAGAGGGAAGAATGTATGCTTATACATGTTGTTTGATAAATGTATAATAAAAATTTAAAATGGCAAAAAAATGAACACATTATCATAATATGGGTGTTACCAATGAGAAATCTCTGCTGCTTGCTTCCAGAACTTGACCCTATAGTTAGCTAAGAATCTCTACTATAATAATACAAGTCTTAACAAGCTATATGAGGAATTTGAGGAATTTGAAACTGTCTCAGTTGGATCTTCCAGGTTGAGTACATTTATTACATTGTAAAGTTACATTGTAAAATACATTGTAAGGTACACTTATTGTAAGTGGCTCAGTTTCAGTCCAAAGCTAAAGAACTTGAAAAACTACAGCTCTCATGATTCCATGGCATTGAGCTATGCTGATGTCATCATTTTGGGGCTAACAGCACTAAAAGCAATACAATATATAATTTAGAACCTTAAAAATACCATCCATGTAGTTCTAAATAAAAAAGGACAGCTACACTCATAAGAGAAATGTATCTATGCAGATGTCTCTAACAAAATTCTCATGCATTAGGCAATAGGAGGATGTCCTTTGATATTTTATACCTTTTACATGTCATTTTTCTTACTTCCTAGAAGAAAAGAAGGTGAGAAATTTAGTAAAAGTCAGTGGAAGGAATGAGATCCATGTTTACTTTTTACTCTTCTACACTCTTCCCTATCTTTTTTATTTTTTGCTGATTTTTCTTGCCGACTACTATCAGTAATGTTCCAAGTATTTGCAACTGGTGCAAAATGCTGCCATACCCTCCACTATTTTCCCCTTTCCAAATGACTCCATCTTCATTGGATTCTGATTGATGCTGCCTCTAAGGATATTTTGTCTTCCTGCTGTTCCTCTGCGATTGAATTTCAAGGGACACCAATGTCTGTCAGCAACATTGAAATCATTGGGGAGGTTTAAAAGAAGCAAACTTCCCTCATCTGTCTCTCAGAACAGGCTATATCTCCTAAGTAACCAAAATGATTTCATTATAAAATGAAAGCACATCAGAATTTCTCCTCTCTAAAGACTTGGGAGAAGAAGAAATTGCTACTTCTAGTTTCCAAGAGAGTGCATGTTCAAAAAAATTATGCCAAAGTTTATACTGATCTAAAGTATAAACAAGAACTCATTTAATGAGGTCATTGTGACTTGCTTTATAGAAATCAGTTTATCTGGACGTAAGGAGGAGGAACAGGTTTTAAAATAAATTCAATTCCTGTTAGTTAAAATGTGTATTTTATAATTATATTTTGCTTTATATTATCTCTGGAAACAATGTTTGCAGAATGGCAAAATGTGTTATGTTATGTCAGGGTCTTGGAAGTTCTTGTAATAAATTACGGTGAAGGACTTGGCCTGTGTTATGTCAAGTCACAGTGAAGTGTTGAATCTGAATAACTTCACTTATTATCCATGACCTGTCACTCTGTCTACTCTAGCAGCTCTTGTATTTCAAAAACATGTTTGTTTTTTAAATTGGGTAGCTACTGCACAGAAACCTAAGGCATACATACATACTTATTTTATCTTGCCTGTTGGCTGAGGGAAGATAGCTACTCATTCACTGTTCTTCAAAAGCTCTTATTAGGAGCTATTTTTTCACTTCGATTACCTTTGATGCTATATCCTATATATGCCCTCTTGAGCTCCTTCAAAGAGGCTATGAATATCTTTTAAAGGCAAATGAGAGTGATTACTTCAATGTTTTGGTGAAGTCTCAGGAAAGAATACACAGAATTATTTGAAAACTGAAATATCTGTAATAGACATGGGAAACCTCCAGCTTGCTGACTTTTCCCAAGCCCCTCTGTCTCTTGGATCTACAAATCTTTTTTTTCTTGAATCAGCTGTTAATTGGAGAGAATAAATGTTGGGGCCTGAGGATCAGGAGGCAAGGTTTCTATCTAATTCTCCAGAATTTTCCTGGGCTTCGGCATAGACTGCTGTTTTTAAAGAATAAATGTTTGATGTATGTAGAACACAACCATAGCTTGATTCATTTATTTTAAACATTTTACAAAAACTTTTTAATACAATTTCCTGGGCAATTTATAAACATTATTAAGGGCAGAGACCAAAGGTATTTTATTTATTTATTTATTTATTTATTTCTACCCCACTTTTCTCCCAGAGTGAAACTCAAAGTGGGACACAGCACATAAAATCAGAAAATAGATACAAAGAACAGCATTTCACAATAACTATAAATTGCAAGTGGTTTCACAGGACTCAGCATTGTGGAAATATCAGTGGGAGCGTTGTTGACATTTGTGACACTTTTTTTCTAGAATGACTTTTTGAGGGTTTCTACTTGTTTATGAAAAGCTTTGTGAAATATCCTGGAAAATTAGATTGAAAACTTTTTAAATGTAGTTAATTTCTGGGCAAATTAAAGTTGTGTTTTTTAATATTTGTTTGATTCCTTCTTTTTCAGAAGCACCACTGAAAGCAGAAGACAACCCAGAAGAGGCTTTCACCGACTCATCCCTCTTTGCTCACTGGGGCCAGGACCTCAGCCCTGAGAACAGACGTATTGCCCTGAAACAGTTCCAGTACTATGGCTACAATGCATACCTGAGTGATCGTCTTCCCCTGGATAGGCCATTGCCTGACTTTAGACCCAATGGGTAAGGATGGCCTTCCAGTAGGCTTAATCATTAGTTTCTGATGGCTTTGACATCAGTGGGTTGATGAAACTACTCTGGTGTTTTCTCCAAATTTTAAATCGTTTTCTTTGAAAATAAGGACTAAACATTGGACCACACATATGACCCTTCCAACATGGAAGCCACCGATACCATGTTTTTAAAGGAAATATTTGGCTGTATGTATTTTGATTTTTGTAAGCTGACTTGAGTTTCAGGAGCAGTGGTGGCAGTAAAAGGAAAAACAGCAATGGAAATTACCTTGGCAGGATGATGCTCACAATCTTCCAGCCTGTAATCTCAAATAATTGTCCATAATGGAAAGGGTGGGTGTTCATTTCATGATATGTATGGATTTGTGTTTTTATTCAAACTTTTATAAAAAGAATGAATAGGGAAAATACAGTACCAAAATTGAAACTTGTTGGATTCAGATAATGGGATATAGGCCAGCCCAAGTCTTTGTGGACTAGTTGTTCTTGAATCTGGGAATTGCTTCACTTACCTTTTTTGGTTGGGACTGCATTTCCCTCTGAAAGAACAGGTGTGTAGTTAAGGAGTACTCCTACGTCTACCTCTGTCACTGGAAATCTCAATATCTTGGAATATTTCTTAATCATCTCTGCCATTGGAGGTTTGGAATGTTTAGCACCCATTTCACCTGATCCAACAGCTCTGGCCTTACTTGGCCAAAATAACCTAGCTATGGTAATCCATGTGCTGATAACTTACTTATTAGACTATTGCAATGTACTTTACATTAGACTTCTCTTGAAGATATGGCAGCTACACCTAACACAAATGGCTTTATCCAGATTGACTCAGATATTGCATAGAAACAGATGTCAAAGGAGTTGGCCTGGCTGACATTACGTTTCCACTCTGAATTCAGGTGGTGATGACATTAAAATCCCTAAATAGATTGGAAATGCAGTACGTGAACAAATATCTCTCTGGATGGATAGATAGGCAGATAAATAGGTACAAGCCTGAGGTTTGATCTGTTCCATTGTTCTGGGCAATGCACGATAGGAAGATGTGGAAGAGGGCCGGCTTTGATATGGTACCCCAAGTCACAAGTTCCCCATAGAGCCTTGACTGGTGTTGACTCAAGTAAAATTCTATTGCCATGTAAAAATATGTTTTACTAAATCTTTTGGAAGTAATAGATTTTATACAAATCCCTACATGGCTGTGATTTTAATTTTTAAGGATTTTAAACAATTTTAGGTTGCCTTTTAAAACTTGTTGATTTTTATTATTATTATTTTTTATTTATTTAGTACACTTGTATACCGCTAATATCTCAGCCTAAAACGGCGACTCATTGCGGTTTACAATATTAAAAACAACAATATTCCGATAAAAATATAAAACACATACATATACAATACACAGTATTGGGCCACCAATACAGACCAATGCATCTCTTAACTTAAATCATAATCCAATTTCGTTGTCTGTGATTACCAGTCCTTGATCAAAACTTCATCGCATCGGATTAGCCGAATGCTTGCTCAAACATCCATGTTTTCAGTTTTTTTTGAAATGCCATCAGCGAGGAGGCTGATCTTATCTCTATAGGGAGGGCATTCCAAAGCCGTGGGGCCACCACAGAAAAGGCCCTATCTCTCGTTCCCGCCAGCCGCACCTGTGAAGCAGGTGGGATAGAGAGACGGGCCTCCCCTGAAGATCTTAGGGTCCTGGTGGGCTGATAGGCCGAGATACGTTCGGATAGATATGTTGGGCCAGAACCGTTTAGGGCTTTAAAGGCCAATGCCAGCACTTTGAATTGGGTCCGGTAGCTAATCGGCAGCCAGTGGAGCTGGTACAGCAGAGGAGTTGTATGCTCCCTGCGCCCTGCTCCTGTTAGTACCATGGCTGCCGCCCGTTGGACTAGTTGGAGCTTCCGAGCCGTCTTCAAAGGCAACCCCACATAGAGCACATTGCAGTAGTCTATATGGGAAGTTACCAAAGCGTGGACTACCGTGGCCAAGTCAGACTTCCAAGGTATGGGCACAGCTGGTGCACAAGTTTTAACTGTGCAAATTATCCCCTGGTCACCGCTGAAACCTGGGGTTCCAGGCTCAGCGATGAGTCCAGGATCACACCCAAACTGCGAACCTGTGTCTTCAGGGGGAGTGCGACCCCATCTAACACAGGCTGTAACCCTATACCCTGTTCGGCCCTGCGACTGACCAGGAGTACCTCTGTCTTGTCTGGATTCAATTTCAATTTGTTCGCCCCCATCCAGACCGTCACAGCGGCCAAGCACCGGTTCAGGACCTCGACAGCCTCCTTAGTAGCAGGTGGAAAGGAGTGACAGAGTTGGACATCATCTGCGTACAGATGACATCGCACTCCGAAACTCCGGATGATCTCGCCCAGCGGCTTCATGTAGATGTTAAATAACATGGGAGACAATATTGAACCCTGAGGAACCCCACAATGCAAAGGTTGTGGGGTAGAACAGGAGTCCCCCAGTAACACCTTCTGAGACCGACCCTCGAGGAATGACTGGAGCCACCGCAAGGCAGTACCTCCGAGACCCATTCCCGCGAGGCGTCTCAGAAGGATACCGTGGTCGACGGTATCGAAGGCCGCTGAGAGGTCGAGTAGCACCAACAGGGACACACTCCCCCTGTCGAGCTCCCGACGGAGATCATCCACTAAGGCGACCAAGGCTGTCTCGGTACCATGCCCCGGCCTACAGCCAGACTGTGCCGGATCCAGATAATCCGTGTCTACCAAGAATGCCTGGAGTTGTGAGGCCACCACACGTTCCATGACTTTGCCCAAAAAGGGGAGATTGGAAACAGGCCGATAGTTGACGAATTGAGTGGGGTCCAGTGATGGTTTCTTCAACAGCGGTTTTATCACAGCTTGCTTTAAGCTGGCTGGAATTTTGCCTTCCCGAAGGGAGGCATTAACCACCACCTTCACCCACTCGGCCAATCCCCCTCTGGCCTCCTTTAGAAGCCAGGATGGGCAGGGGTCTAGGATGCATGTGGTAGCTCTCATTCCTCCAAGCACCTTGTCCACATCCTCGGTTTGAACTAATTGAAATGAATCCATCAAAATTGGACAAGCAGATGTTCGTGTTACATCCTCAGAGACTGCCGTTAATATGGTGTCCAGTCCAGAGCGGATCAAAGCGACTTTGTCTGCAAAGAACTGAGCAAAGGCTTCACAGCGAGCTGCCGAGTCATCAGGGCACCCATCCTGAATGGTGGGTTTTAACAGGCCTCTGACAACTCGGAACAGTTCAGCCGGACGGTTCTTTGCAGACGCAATAGTGGCCGCAAAGAAAGTTTTCTTTGCGGCTCTTATTGCCGCGGCGTATGACCTTAAAAAGGACACAAACCGTGTTCGATTTGGCTCGCTCGGATCCGAACGCCACACGCTCTCTAGTTCCCTCTTCTTTTGCTTCAACGCTGCCAGCTCCTCAGTAAACCAAGGAGCTGGTTTAGCTCGGCTACTTGAGAGGGGACGTTCTGGAGCGATCGTGTCTATTGCCCTAGTCATCTCCCCATTCCAGAGAGCGACCAGGGCATCAACAGGATCACCAACCGAGGTGGCGGGAAATTCCCCAAGAGCCGTCAGGAATCCCTCCGGATCCATAAGCCTCCTGGGGCGGACCAACTTAATGGGTCCTCCACCTCTGCGGAGGTTAGGGAGTGCAGTAAGTCTAAAGCTGACCAGGTGGTGGTCGGTCCATGGCAACGGAGAGATGGATAACTCCTCAACACCGCCACCTTCCTCCCATCCCTGGCAGAAAACCAAGTCCAATGTATGTCCAGCACTGTGGGTGGGGCCAGATACCTGCTGGGACAGCCCCATGGTTGCCATGGTAGACATGAAGTCCTGAGCCGCTCGCGATAAGGCAGCCTCGGCATGGACATTGAAGTCCCCAGCACAAGCAGCCGTTGGGACTCCAATGCCAGGTCCGAGACCACCCCCGCTAGCTCAGGTAGGGAGACTGTAGTGCAGCGAGGTGGACAGTACACTAGCAGAATCCCGAATCTGTCCCGGTCACCCACCCTCAGGTGGACGCATTCAAAATTTGTTGACTGCGGGATGGGGGCCCTGGTCAGAAGAATGGAATCTCTGTAGACTACTGCAACCCCGCCTCCCTGCCCTCCGGATCTCGGTTGGTGCTGCACGGAGAACCCGGGTGGACAAAGCTGGGTCAAATTTACACCTCCCGCTTCGTCCAGCCAGGTCTCCGTGATGCACGCCAGATCTGCCCGTTCATCCAGGATTAAATCTTGGATGAAAGTTGTTTTACCATTGACAGATCTGGCGTTCAACAGCACCACTTTCAATCCCGAGGGACCGCCAACCTGGTTACACCAACTTACCGTATCAGGAGACCGATTTGGAATTACTAATGTTGTTCCACGTTCCCTAGGCCGAATTAAAGGTTTCCCTTTCCCGTATCTCCCCTTCCCCACCACGACTTCTATGGGGGCTCCACGGTTAACGGAAGCCTCTCCCTCCTCCATGACGCATTCAATATCCATAATAACAACCCAAAGATCATTATAGACTGTCTGACATATTACAGCTCCAATTTGCCATGGCTTTGCCTTCCAATCATTTCCCGTTCCTATTATGTTATATTCGGGACCCCCTGAGCTATTCCATTCCCTCTGACCCCCCATATGCAATTAGCAACCAGATTAACAAATGCCAGGGAGTGGATAATAACATGAGTAACAGCTGTTAAACACAATCAGGGGGTTTGGTTAAGGCTCTTAGAGTATAGATGGAGACTTATGTCAACATACACGATGGAATAACAATTAAAATGCGGTGGCTTGACAATCAACCCCAAAGTGCTTAATGAAGTGCGTCATGGAGGCCTAAATCAACGCTGGATGTATCGAATCAGTTAAAGTGCTAGATTTGGTTAAAGTGCCACAGAAGTAGTAATATAAAGTGCTAATAAAGTAAAGTGCTAAGATCACACAGTTAAAAAA